GGACCAGGGGCTCAGAGCACCATGAAGTGGAAAGAGCTGGCCCGAGGGGAAATGGCCACAGGCCTTGCCTTGTGCACAGTTCACTGGATCTCAGATCTGGTGAGAGTGAGGAGTAAACAGGACTCTGGTGAATGGAGCCCAGGTGACCAGCAGAAACTGGGAAGGATGGAGGTGGAACTATGTTTGGTAGAAAGATGGTGGGCCTGTGGGGCTTAAAGTGTTGCAGGGCATCCCAGAGATGCTGGCCAAGAAAGAGATGGGAGTCAAGTGGCGGGATCTGGGGTGTGGCACCTTTATTCATTAGATATATTTTGGACACTGAAATGTGTCTACCTCTGGGCAACTCACTAGGATCGAACAGTGAATGGATTGATCATGGGAGCATATGCGTGATCACAGGGGGTAGAGGGCAGGAGAGAGGCCATTTGGGAGACAGGAGGAGACATGGAATGAGAGCCCAGGCAGAGCTCTGCAAAGCACCAGTGTTTATATGCAGGACAAAAAGACGTGGCCACACTAGGGAAGAGGAGCAGTCATTGGAGGAACAGGAGGAGTCCAGGTGGCAGAGGAGCCCTGTTGGCAGCTGCTCTCTGGACCCATGGAAGAAGATCTGAGCAGGGGCAAGAGAGCTGCTGTCCCTAGTTCTGCTGAACCAGTTGTGTCACTGTGGAGAATCCTGTCCCTCTCCTTACTGTGTTCCTCAAATGCAGTTATATGATCATTCAACACGAGTTCTGAAATTTCTGTGACTGTTGAACACAAATGATCACATGAAACAGATGTGAGGTTCACCTTTCTCCAAGCAAACCTGTGGGAATGGTTAATTCAGTTTCCACATGAGTGTGCTTGGCCTAGAGATAGCTTTATGTGACAGTCACCACACTGGATAACTCTCGGGCATCCATGTGTCTTTGAGATATTCTCCATTTTTGGAATTTGAAGGGAATGGCTAAAACTGGACAGGTGGCTCCTTCTTCAGCAGAAGCTTGGGTGGAAATTGGACCCTGGTGTTTCACATCCCTGCTTCCTGGCAGCCAGCTACTCCAGCCCAGGGACGCACAGGTAGAAGAAGAAAGCCAGTGATCTGCATTTATGTGTGGCCAGCCCTAAGGGTTACAGATTATGAGGTTGCATGGAGAGGGTAGGCAAAGGTAATTATATCTGACAAGTCTGTTAGGGTTGAATCACATCTCCCCTAAATTCATATGCAGAAGTCCTAGTCCCAGAGCCTCAGAAAGTGATTGTATTTGGGAATCAGGTCATCGCAGATATAATTAGTTAAGATGAGATCATACTGGAGTAAGCTGGGCCCTAATCCAATAGACTGTGTCCTTGTAAAATGGGGAAATTTGAACACAGACAGACACATTGGGGGAGGCCATGTGAGGACACAGGGAGAAGCCACCATCCACAAGCCAAGAGAGAGCCTCAGGAGAGCCCATATGTAGATTTCAAATGTCTGATTCCAACCTTGATCTGAGATTTCCAGACTCCAGGAGGGGAGACAGTAAATCCTATAGTTTATGATGCCCATCAGGGTGCTTTGTTTCAACAGCTCCAACAAGCAGACGCACTGCCCCAAGCGCTAGTTGGGGGAAGACGATGACGGGGCTGCGGAGCAAGCCCCTGAAGAATCAGGACTGGGGAAGCAGAGGGGAGACTGGGGTTGCTCAGGGCTGAGTCCCGGGGATGCTCAGACTCTGCTCCAGAGCCTGCCGTTCACCTCACAGGTAACAGGAGGCTCCAGGAGGGGTTTGGATGGTGGCCTGCTTTAAGTGCTGGAACATGGGCCTAGTGAGTCTTCCACCCTGGACTTGGAAAGATGCATGATGCCTGAGGCTTCTGCTGTCAGTGCAGCCCCTGCTCCCACTGGCTAAGTGGCCAGGCCTGAGCCCCACCTGTGACCAGACACCCAATCCCCAGTGGGACCTCCCGAGAAGCCAGGTTCCTACAAGTACTGGAGTTCATCACTGTTTTTGGTAGATTAACCCTATTTCTTAAGGGTTGGCCTGGGAATCTGATATCCTATGGTACATGACTTCTACGGGAAAATGTATCCCAACCTGCAAGGAACTTCTAACTTCTGGAACCAGCTGCTCGTAGGCTAGTGGCAGTGCAGCAGAGTGGGTCTCAGTGGAAGTGTGGCCTAGCCCATTAATCCTCTGTGGGACTGAAGGCTCCCAGGTGTGTCAAGGGCAGATGGCGTGGTGGGTGCACAGCACCTCACAGCCTTCTTGGGTGTAATGGAAATCATTCCACTGAAGCATTTGATAAGCATCAACCCACCCTCCAAGCAAGGCATTATTTCTTACAATTATTTATGTCTTGTACTCATTCACTCTTTCCCAAATTGGCAGGCACGCCCCATTGGACCTGTTAGGGCTTTGAGGGAAGAAAATGAATAATTTTTCTCCCTCCTCTGAAGTGGAAACTCATAAAAATAGGAAGGCAGGCGAAAGAAGACCCTGATGTCAGCATCACAGCTGAGAAGGCCAGATTGGGCCAGATGACAAAAGGGCTTTCCCCACCCACCCAAAGATACATCAGGGTCAGCAGAGATCCTTTTCCCCAGGAGGCATGCCCATTCCTACCCGTACTCCAACCAGCTTGCTCCATGGAGAGAAGCCACACATGTTGGGGGGCAGGGGACCCTGAGACTGAAGGGGGGCTGATGGCACAGCTGAGTTTACCACCAAGAAGGGGTGAGTCAAGAATGGGGAAAGGCTGGGGCATTTCTCCCCCACATCTTACTCTGTGGGATTGCTGTGGACCCGATGTCTGTGTCCCCAAGATTCCCTAATCCCTGGGGAGATGGTATGAGGAGGTGGGGCTTTTGGGAGGTGATGAGCTCTTGAAGGTGGGTCCTATGAGTAGGATTATGGCCTTTACGCGAGAGACCCCAGAGAGCTCCACTGGCCTTCCCACCATGCAAGGACACAACCCCATCTATGAACCAGGAAGCAGCCCTACCTGGACGCTGAATCTGCCATGCAATGATTTTGGACTTCCAGCCTCCAGAAGTATGAGGAACAAATGTCTGCTGTTGATGAGCCCCTGGTCCTGAATACTGTGGTGTAACAGTTTGAATGGACTGAGACAGGAAAGAAAGTGGGACTACTGTCTGCACTGTGAAAACATGAAGAGTGGGGAATGCCTCCCAAATAAAACCGATTTCATTTACCTTAAAAAATAAGTTGAGTTCTAGTCTCTGAAAGAAATGTGTATGCTGGATCCCTCAGATTCAGTGTTGCTAATGCTGTAAATTCACATCATAGAACCTACACTATGACTCAGAATTGGGAATTTTTTATTTCATAAAAATATGAAATAAAAAATTGGCAACTGCTTGCTATTTTGAAATATCCACAAAGCAATGAGACCAAAAGATACTTAGGATGAAATCTCTGTCCTGATTTTAAAAGCTGTGCACATGACATCTTTCTAAAACTCCCATGAATCTGCTAGACTCTGAGTGACCACAGACAACTTCTGTGGGTTAGTTCCATCAGTGATGGCATGCAAGGGGTTCTCACTGGGGAACTGTGGGAAGGACAGGTTCTGTGTGGGACCCTCCCCTGTAAGAGAAGCAGAGGCTTGGGGTAGAGACCCAGGAAAAGGCTGGGCTGCCCAGCGACTGGAGGGGAGTAGGGGAAGTCTGCAGAGCTGCTGAAAGGACCCTCCCCAGTGCCTGGAGGTCCCAACTCACAGCCCATGCTCCTTCCTTATTTGGAAATGTTATTACTTTTCTAAGTCTTTTTGCAAGGAACTTCCTCTTTTCCTTTGTTCTCCATTGCTTTTACCTATTTAGGACAGTTTTAAGTCATTAGCCAATTGTGTTTAGCTTAGACTGTCAGGTCTAGCTCCAACCAACGGAGACAGGACACAGCAATAAGGACTCAATGTGTAAGAGATAAAGATTCCTGCCTTTCTTTTGTTAATTGTGCTCTTGTGGCAAGATTGCTGACAAGCAGTACCCTTTCTGCAGAAAGCAAAATTGCCTTGCTGAGGAAACTTTTTGTCTGAATGCTAATTTTTCCTTGCAGCACCAAGGAATAAGCATTCTGTCTCTAACAGCTTTCCAAGTAGCTGAGACCACAGGTGCATACCACCATACCCAGCTAATTTTTGTACTTTTTGTAGAGACAGGGTCTTGTTATGTTGCCCTGGCTGGACTTGAACTCCTGGGCTCAACTGATCTGTTCACTTCAGCCTCCCAAAGTGCTGGGATTACAGATGTGAGCTGCCATGCCCGGCCTAACACTTATCTGTAGTTGTCCAGATTAATTTCACGTGGATATAAAGTTAACAGTCATGTGGCAAATGCTGTTTGTGGCTTCAGGCTCCTGGTCTCATGGAGCCAATAGAACTCAGGCTGGGCTCTGAAGGCATCTGGGCAACTGTTATGGTCTCACAACACTGCACATAACCTGGTGACAGCTTTGGACACTTAATATTAATTGGAGAACGGACACTACTTAATATGTTTCCCATGATCTGACATGCCTGGAGAGTGGTGAGGAGCCTGGGGTCGAGCCATGCAAGTTTCAGATCAAGGAGAGGAGGCTGGGGGGAACAGCCACATGGCTGCAATGAAGACAGAGGCAGATCCCAGGCAGCTGCAAATGGCCCCTGTCACCCTAAACTGTGATTCTAGCAAAAGCAGTGAAACTTTTAAAGAGTTCAAGCCTCACGTCAAATGGAGTCAACTGATGGACTGGTGTTTTGGAAGAAAATGTGCAATTCTGATGACGAACATGGGTTAATATCTGCCATAGATAAAGATACCTTAAAATGACCAAAAAATTAAAATTGTCAAGAAACAAGAGAAAAATGTGTAAATCATAAACACAGGTTATTCACAGAAGAAACAACACAAGTAATAATAATATAAACATATGAACAAATGTTCATCCTACCTATAATTTAGAAAAAACTCAAACTAAAATATCATCTATCAGGCTGAGAAATATTAAGAAGCATTGTAACATATACAGTGGCAAGACATGAAAGAAAAAGGAAGTTCTCAAACATTCCTTGTGAAAATAAAAATTTTTGTAATCTTTTGAAACAGTGTGGCAAGATATATTAAAATTATCAATGACATACTCTTCATACCAGTGACCTGACTCCTGATGATTCATCTCATAGAAATAAGAGCATAAATGGAGATGGGCACGGGAATGCTGAGGGGCTGAGACTGCCAACTTAGTTAACCATAGAACTGCCCCCGATGCATCCCTCAGCCCCCTCACCAGGGGAGTTTGTGGGTGCAACTGCTGGCACCAGACACTTGGTTGGCTGACTGCCAGTCCACGACAGTGACAATGTCTGTGACAGATGGTGACAACACTCCTCCACTCTACCTTGGGAGGGTGGTGCCGGTGAGGACACAGCAGGAGAGAGTGCAGGTGTCCGCAGCAAAGTCTGGCGTCACATGGGTGCTGTCCTAGTCCACTTATTGCTGTAACACCCGGCCATAATCTGAGTGACTTGTGCATGCATTGATTTCTCACATTTCTGGGGGCTGGAAGTCCGATCAAGGCCCTGACAGATTTGGTGTCTGTGGGGGGATTGCTTTCTGTTCACAGAAGACATCCTCTAACCACATCCTCTTAGGGTGGACAAGCCAAAAAGCTCCCTCGGTCTCCAAACCCACACATCAGAGCCCCACTCTCAGGAGGTAATCACCTCCCAGAGGTCCTGGTCCTAATACCAGCACCTTGACGGTCCAGATTTCAACAGATAAACTTGGGGGGACCCAGCATTCAGACCATGACAGCTAGAAACACACACATACACAACACTCCCGAGCTAAGCCTTGTCTCCAGAATTTTGCTCCTTCCAAAACTAAGTTATGCCCTCAGTGACTCTTTAATTCCACTCCTCTGTGGAAGTCATAGTGCCCCGATTTATTTATGCCAGTAGAAATGAGATAGACAGACCCAGTCACTCAGCCCATTACTCTCACTAAGCAAGATTATTCACACTGATACATATCCTATCATTGCAGGCCATTAGCAAGGTGCATGTAATGTTTTGCATCCCCTGGGGAGACTAGAAATAATGACAGTTGTCAACGCTCCCTTCCTTCCAGAGCCCAAGACACTGTCTCCAATGTCAGTCCTAATGACAGCAGAATGATGACATTGTCCATTGTCCTGGACTGCCTCCTCCGAGGCCCTCCACTTGCGAGCCCAGCAAATACATCTCTGTACTCCCCTACCTCCTGAGAGTGGAAATCCTCACGGAGAAGCATGAATAAGTGTGAGCTACTATATGTAAGTGGGGTCAAAAGAAGAGGAGGACTCATGGAGGGAGGGAGCCGAGTGTGAGATGAACAGGTGTCAGCGTAGACTGTTCCTTGGGAAGAGCTTGTATTTGGTTAGGATGAGAGAAACCTTACGTCAGACCCTGGCACGGTGTTCCCAAGAATAATCTCAGGACCAAATAAAAAAAAAATATGAGCAAAGACATTTCACAAAGAAAAAAAAATTTTTTTTCAATAAATGCATAGAATCATATTTAAGATCATTAGTCATGAGAAAATAAAAGAAAAACAAATGTCGTTGTTCCCAATACAACATTTAAAAAATGATTATGACAACCTGAAAAATAGCCACATGCAAACATTTCACACACTCCACATTCTGAGCAAGAAAAAGTTGGTCCAGGATTTCCCGAGTGCTCTCAGGCAGGTACTCCAAGAGTCACAGAAACATTTACAGTCCTATCTGGGTTTGGTAGAATTGGGTACTTTTACTTTTTAAAAATACTTTGCTGTGCATTTCAAACTTTCTACAATGATCATATTATACTTTTATAAACAGAAAAAAGGAACTTTTTAAATATTTGAAATGTTCATTAAAAATTAAAACATGGGTCTTTTAGGTGGACGTTGCTGCACACTATGAGCCACTGAAAATGACAGCACATCCTCAGCACGTCCTCAGCAGGGTCTGCCCAGGGTGAGCAATCATTACCTAGGGGAAAGGCACGTCAGAGCAACAGGCGGGAAGGGGCGGGAGGCTGGCGGAATTTTAGTGGCTGGTTCTTTCTAAGGAAATGGGCCTAAGAGATGATACCCAGGCCCTACCAACTCAAGTTTCCTTACTTTCCTGCTGAAACAATCGGGAAAAAGACTAATGGAAAGATTTTCACAGCCCAACTGCATCCAGAAACGCAAGGTTAAGGGCCCTTTGCAGGTACTGGTTAAGGAAGCTTCCATAAAATGCCTCGTAAAGGATAGTAACCCAGCAGCATGTGAAACAGGTCAAAATGTTCCTTTTTAAAAAATGGAATATTACAGACAGGATCTCCTAATGATCACTTTGCCTACCCACATTTCACACAGCAGAGAAGTGAGGCCCAGAGAAGTTAGGCACCTGGCCTGAAGTCACAGAGCTAATTTAATAGCAGGGCTGAGACTCAAACCCAGTTATTCTGCAAGACCCTAGAGCTCCTCCTAGTTCCCTGCCCAGCCTCTGGCTGCTCTGTCATCCGTCGTTCCTGGGAATTTACTTCCTCCCCTCATCCTCATCCTCCCAGACACCTCCAGGCCCTTTGTCTGAGGTGGGCAAAGTGGTCTGAGACAGACCCACTGGCCTTCCCCCAGCTCAGCCACTTATGGTCGTTTGAGAGATAAAGCAAGTGACTGGTCTCTGACTCAGTTTCCTCATTTGTAGAATGATGATTACATGAGTCAGTGTTTGTGAAGATGCTAGAACTTCACCTGGTCCAGTGTCAGCATCATATGAGTGTCTGTTAAGTAAAACAAATATAAACTATATACAAAATACTGATGTGTGTGTGATGTTTCCACTTGGGGGATAATTGTAGCTTATAAATCCTTTTCTCTCATGAGATTGTTCTCCCCAGTGTTTCCCAGCCTCTGTTGCTGCTGCTGAGGGTTCTGATTCTGTTCTGACTCCTCCTGCTTCCTGCCTCACCCAGGTAGACATTACAGATGTCAGTGACTCACTTTTCTACCAACCAGACACTTCCATGCCCTCGGAACTCCAAGGACACGCTGTCCACGGGTGAGGCTGGAGGCCTTGGCTCTGCACCCAGATCCAAGACCCAGGCTGTTCCTACAGGTTTATGGGGTCTGAAGGCTGTGATGGAAATGGGGAAGACGCTCCAGCATTGCTGACCAGTGGCAGTGGGAAAGGGGCCCAGGGATCCGCCAGCAATGCTGAGGTGCGGGACAGCTGTGCCGAGGGAGGGATTAGCAAGTCATGCTCAGTAACTTGTCAGATGGTAGGAGAAACTCGGGAAAATTAAACCTACAGTAGCTGAAAATAGAGTGGAGCAGTTAGAGGATACAGCTGTTGAAATCCCCCAGAGAGCTAACATGAAGATAGGAGGTGGCTAACAAGAGAGAGAGGATAATAAAAATACGTCTATGTGAGGCTTGCGGTTATGTAAATTTTACAGGTCAACTTGGTGGGGCTCCAAGTTTCCAGAAGAGCTCAGCACTAGGATCTGTGGACTGGGGAGGGCAGACCCACCCTCCCCACTGCAGACGGCGCCATCCAAGCCACTGAGGGCCTGAACAGAACACACAGGTGGGAGAGGGATGGGTGACCACTGGACTGCTAAGCTGACCTTCCCCACCCCCATCTTCTCCCATCCTCAGACCTTTGGTTCTCAGGCCCTGGAATGACCCCACCAGCTCTCTTGGGGCTCCAGCTGCAGATACTAGGTCAAGGGGTCTACCAGCCTCCATGGTCAGGTGAGCCAGTCCCTTACAATACATCTCCTTATCCTTCCACTTCCCATTGGCTCTGCTTTTCCGAGACCCTGGCTACTATGGCATCAACAATCAGTACAAGAAACTTCCCTACTCTGAAAGCCATTGCTCCCACTGTGGGGTATGTCACGACAATTCCGATCATCTCAGTGGCCAAACATCAGTCCAAAAATGTGGTTTGCCTACAAATTGGATCAGCTAGGGGAGACCAAGGGCTTAGGGTGAACAAGGAGATGCTGATGCATGAATGAACAGCTATGGCATTCCTGGCCAGTGTGGCGCATTCCAGGGCAGCAGCAGAGCAGGTCTGGGGCATCCTGGACGCCTGTCAAGTGCGCTGCGTGCACATCAGCGGCCCTCTAAGTCCCACTTATGTTTTACTGCTCCTCTCCCTCTGTCAGCTACCAGGGGCTGGTATTTTCCATCAACTTGTCAGATCTCTGCAAATCAAATTATTCTTCTTCAGTGTGCCAGACAGAAAGTGGTAGCAGGCAGCAAGGAACGTTATCTCACATCCCAGATCAAGTTTGTCTCCATCACCAGCGTCCTCCAAATGGATTACCTATGTTATGTGCTCCCTGTTGCTGGTGGTTGAAGGTGAAATCTTTCAATTTAGGGAGAAATTAAGTGAAATCACCCCAGAGCTGAGGCTCACATTATACCAGGTCATGTGCGGTTTGGGTTTGAGCCTCACAGGAGAAGAGATTCAGCCCCAGTGGGTAAATGAGCTGTGCATGGCTTCCAGGGGCACCATAACACACTCTCTCCCAGAAGACATGGAGTGGTTTAGGGATTTCACAGAATAGAACCAACTGCTTTTGGAAGGGAACTGTGGGTCTCACCCACCACCGGCAGCTACAGAGCTGGTAACAGGGCAGATCCAGGGGCCTGAGGCAGGGCAGGAGTCTCTTTAAGAATTCACACGTCCTCACTCTTGCATGGCAGCTAATGTGTGCCTGGGGACGCAGAGCATGGAATAACAGTCATTGGAGACTCAAAAGGGGAGGAAGGTCCGGAGGTGAGGGGGAAGGTGGAACGTTCACTATTCGAGTGACGGTGACACCAGAAACTTCATCACTACTCCATATGTGCAAGTAACTGCACTTGCACCCCCTAAATTTATATAAACAATGAAAAAATACATAAAAAATGCAAAGAAAGAAGAATTCAGCAAAACAACACAGGCACAGCCCCTGAACGTTAGGTGCCCAGGTCTCTAGCTTTCCTTTTTAAAGTTTCTTTTCTTGTTAAATCACAAGTATGCTAATAACTCTTTGTTAAGCCCTATCCTATGTAGCTGTTAAACATGCCATGCTTACGGGCATGTAGTACACTCTATGTCCTTGTACTTTAACCAAGATATCTGTGCTGGACGTGCTCACAGGCATGTCCCAGCTCTCCATTGCCTTTACCTGTTTAGTGAAGTTTTAAGTTGTTAGCCAATAGGATTTTAGTTTAGATTATGAGGTGTGGCTCCAGCCAACGGAGATCAGACGCAGCAGTAAGGACAACCCAAATGCGTACGAAATAAATGTGTGTGTTTCCCTTTGTTCTTTGTACTCTTGTGGCACGATGGCTACTGGGAGTACCCTTCCTGCAGCCTAGGAAGTAAAAATTGTGTTGCTGACAGATCCTTTATCTCAGTGCTAATTTTTCTTTGCAGCACCAAGCATCTATTTCCAACAGAGAGGTTCGGGGCAAATCCACCACTGGGAGGAGTGTCGAGGTGGCCCTTGGACAGGGAGCCTGAAAGGAAGTCTGTGCCTCTGTGACGAGCCAGCATTGGATCTGTTGTGTTTACTGACCTTTTCCAAGGAGAACTTGATTCCCTCACCATGCGGTCTGTGTGCTTTTGCATCAGGTACTGATAGAAGTTTCTTGACTGAAGCTCAGCCAAGAAAACAGTGATGCCCCAGAGAGCAGCCCTGGCCCCTGGACAGCCAGCAACATGTGGAAACATCAGAGACGGGTGGGTGCTTGGTTTCCTCCTTGCCCGGCCTTCCCTGTTTACTAGGATGAGGCTCACATCCCTTCAGAGCATGCCTGATGCACCTGCAGCCAAAAGAAATTCCATATGAGAAACATAAATAAGTCTATTGTGGCAAACAAGGAGTGCATTCAGGGGAATGAGATGATGGGGAAAAAGAGAAGATGACAGGTTCTCCACGGGCTCAAGGCAGGCAGCCTAGCTTTGCAGTTCTTTAAAAGAAATGTTTCAAATTTGACTCCAAGTAGACTTTGTCTACATAGCCAACCAAGTTTGGACTTCCTATTTTATAGCCAGACATCTTTTAAAATGAAAATAAGTATTTACTATATAGCTTATATGATTCTGCCAAATACGTTAGAAAATTGCTCTAGAAAGAAAAAAACACTGTCCTTACATTGAGTCATTGTCTACTCTTAATTCCTGTGTTTATCAACCACATTTGAAAACTGAAGCATTTGAAAGAAATACAGAAAACCTGAATTCCAAAACAAATATCTGTACCTGTTCTTTTAGGGTACATGACAATATACATCACTGATTCCATATGAAAACCAAGATTTAAAATGCAGAAAGTAATAATCACAATTATGCCTAAAAAAGCAGTGCCTACATATAAAACCTACCTGCATAAAGTCAGTTTTGTGTCTGCCAATCTCATCAGGAGGAATTGAACCCAGACGCCAGCCCAGGGACCAGCACTAATGAGGTCTGTGGACATGGGGTTGCCTGGAGCTTGAGCTCATTTCCTCCCAGTCCTGGAACAAGGATTCTGAATTAATTTCCTTCTTTTATATCTTTGAGCTGGTTAAATCTCTTTCATTCCTGCAGATACAGAAGATGAAGCCAGTACTGGGTAGCTTTTGTCCAAAAGGTCAACGGAAAGCAGAGTTTACAAAAGTAGGTTTTGTAAAATATTAGTTCATAGATGCTTAACAGATATTAAAGCAATATTTTTTTACAGTCAATTTAGTTTGGGTACAGCTGGGTCAAATAACACTATTTCAGGACTTGTGAAGGTATCCACAGTGTTCATGCACAGAGATCCTTGAGGACACTCAGCAGGCATTCACCAGACGTCCCCAGCCACAGGGGCCTTTCATGTTTTTCCCCAAAGCATTCCATGGGGCTGGTGTTCTGTGGATGAATTAAGGAAGTGCTTCAGTCAACAAATTTTCAATACAGCTTCCTAGGAACAAAATCATGTCACACTTACCTGAGAATGTTAACATTAACTTATCAGACTTCAACACACTAATCTCTTATCAAATAATTATAGCTATTATTATTATCATTACATGAGAGTGACTGAGAGGCAACATAGTTCCAGGAAAAAACACTGGCCAGAGTTCAGGAGCTATGCATGAATTGTGGTCCTAGATACGCTAAGTTGTAGGCATGAGACATTTAAAACATGTCTTTGTTTAAAATTCAAATGTTATCAATGTATTAACAATGTATTAATAATTTAAATATAATTTTAGTAGAAGAGCTTCTATGTGTTCCATTTTTAATGTCTCCACAATTCTTAAACTAGGACACCTTTCCTTTGATCCGCACAATTTGACACATATTTGACACATATTCCGCTTAACTCTCCTTTGCTTAACTCAGTCCTACCACTGGAGACCCTTTCAGTCACTGATCTGTATGGCACAATCTGAAATGAAACATCCATTTCGAACACTGCCAATAATCGTGATGCCAAATTTATACCATGCAAACTTTAAGTACTATCGTGGAGAATTCAGTGTGTGCAAACATATTCTGTCAACCTGTCTGAGATGTGCATTTTTCAGTGTGTCTGCAATGGGTAGGCCAAGGGAGGAGGGGGATCCATCTTGGGCTTGAAGCCTGCTCAATGTGAAGACAATTCTGGGTTTGTTAGAAATCCACTTGCAGAAGGGGCCAGAAGGCTTTGGAGAGGTGTCATTTTAGGGAAGAGGGTTGAGAGAACTATGTTGTCCCACATGAGTCAGGCGCACAGCAGAAGGGTAGGGACACAGTTCCTGAAGGACACAGACCAGTGTGTGCTGGTCTTCCCAGGTCAGGGCACCAACTTCATGTAAGGCCAGACAGAGGAGGTGTCTTGTGGCCCTCACTAAGCCACAGGCACCTCCATACAACAGAACCCACAGGACGACATCGCCTGGGGAGGGCACAAGGGACGCCTCTCCAGAGCACTGAGCTGGGATGGGGACAAGGGGCCCCAGCAGGGAGCCACGAGGGCACTGGCCCCTCCACCCACATCCTCCAGGCTTGGAGGTATCTGCTCTGATGCCTGAGGCTGAATGGAACATGGACTGAGGGAAGCTATGAAGAGCCCATGGAGGAAGATCCTGACCTGCAGGGGCATTTCCTTCACGAGCTCCAGGGAGCCCGGCAGAGGAAGCGCCATGACGGGGCAAGGGAGGAGGAAGTTCTGTGAGTAAGGACACGGCCTCCAGCGAAGCATCCCATGTAGATTTAAGAATGGTCTAAGACCTCTGAATGGATTCAGTTAACAGACATCAAGTGCATGAAGGAATTGAGTACGAGATAAAACATCAGTTCTAATCACTGGAGGGACAATGGATGGCTCAGTAGTCTGGGGATATGTGGTTAGCCATTCAGAAATAAAATAAACTCAATTCTATTTTACTAATTACAGCAAAATTAGAAAAATAATTCCAGATAGATAAAATAAACAAGTAAATAAAATACTTAATGTAAAAGTACATTAAGGCATGACTTTTTTCAAATGAATTGACTGACGTTTCACTGATAGAGGTTTATCATCCTGGAGTGAAAAAATTATTTCAAAATACTCCAAATTTGTGGAAATTATAAAGAAAGTATGGCATATTTGACCACATAAAAATTTGTCCTTTTATATTTTTTAAATACCATAAACAATGCTAAAATACAAATGAGAAATTGGCAAAAAATTATTTTCAAGATGCATGACAGAAAAATGACTAAATTAATATGCAAAGAGCATTTTATAAATCAACAAGGGAAAGGAAAAGCAAAAAATAGGCAAAGGACAGGAAGAATAAATTCATTAGAAAAAGTAAAATGCAAATAAACAGTAGGCATATGAAAGATGATAAAATTTAAGTGCTAATTAAAAATAAAAATAAAATCATTTTCCACTAAGAATAGTCACTACTAATTAGGTTACAGAGTTGTAACTCCCCAATCTATTGGAAATGTCCACCAAAAGGACATTGGCTAAATCAGTTATGATACTGCCATCAGGTGGAATATAGTGCAGCTGTCACAAAGAAAAAGTAGACTGTTATTCGTTGATATAAAAAGACTTCCAGGACCTCTAGTTATAATTTTTTTTAAGTCTAAACAGTATTGTATGATCCCATTTTTATTTTTCTTAAAAGTAATGGAGACGTGTGTGTGTGTGTGTGTGTGTGTGTGCGCGCGCACGCACATATATTTAACCCAAACTAAAGCATTTATAGCCTCAAAAGGGCTGAGTGCAGCTGTGCCCGAGCAGGGTGGTGAAAGTGAGCAATAGCTGAGGTCCCTTCCTGCTGGTCACTGACGCATTCTGATCAGAATTACTCCCAATGCTTGGGGCATAACAGGTGATAGATAGGAAGGTAAGTAGATAGGTAGATAGCTAGATAGGCAGGTAGGCAAGCAGACAGGCAGGTAGGTAGATCAGTAGATAACTAGGTAGAAATGTAGATAGATAGGTAGGTAGGTAGATAGGCAGGTAGACAGGTAGGTAGATAGGCATGTATGTAGATGAGTAGATATGTAGACAGGCAGGTAGGTAAATAGGTCAGCAGGTAGATAGGTAGGCAGGTAGGTACACAGATAAATAGGTAGGTAGGTAGGTAGGCAGGTGGACAGGTAGGTGGGTAGATAGGTAGGCAGGTAGTTATGTAGATAAGTAGATAGGCAGATAGATGGGCCGATAGGTAGGTAGACAGGTAGGTGGATAGGTAGGTAGGTAGATAGGTGGCTAGATATGTAGGCAGGTAGATGAGCAGGTAACCAGGTAGATAGGTAGACAGGTAGGTAGGTGGGTAGATAAGATAGGTAACTAGACAAGTAGCCAGGTAGGTAGGTAGGTAGGTAGGAAGGTAGGTAGATAGGTAAATAGATAGGTAGGTAGGTAGAGAGAGGAGTAGGCAGGTAAATAGGTAGGCAGGTAAGTAAGTAAGTACGCAGGTAGACAGGTAGGTGGCTATGTAGCTAACTAGATAGGTAGGCAGCTAGGTAGGCAGGTAAGTAAGTAGGTAGGCAGGTAGACAGGTAGGTGGCTAGGTGGGTAGACAAGTAAGTAAGCAGGTAGGCAGGTAGGTAGACAGGTAGGTAGGTAGGTGGGTAGATAGGGTAGGTGGCTAGTTACATAAGAAGGTAAGATAAGTAGGTATACAGGTAAATAAATAGGTGGCTAGATGGTAGGCAGGTAGGTAAGTACGTAGATAGGCAGGCAGGTAAGTAGATAGATGAGAAGGTAGGTAAGTAGGTAGGTATATAGGAAAGCAGGTAGGTAGGTTTGTAGGTAGATAAGCAGGTAGGTAGGTAGGCAGGTAGGTGGATGGGTAGGTGTTAGTGAGTAGATATGTAGGTAGCTAGATAGGGAGGCAGGTAGGTAGGTAAGTAGATAGGAAAGTGGGTAGATAGGCAAGTAGGAAGGCGGAGAGGCAGGTAGGTAATAGGTAGGTAAGCAGGTTAAGTAGATAAGCTGGTAGGTGAATGGGTAGGCAGATGGGCAGGCAAGTAAGTAGGTACATAGGTAGGTAGATAGGTAGGTAAGTAGTTAGGTAGGTAGATACGCATGATAGGCATGGTAGGTAGGTAGATAGGAAGGTAGGTAGGTAGGTACATAGGTAAGTAGGTAGATAGGTGGGTAGTCAGACAGGCAGGTAGATAGGCTGGTAGCTAGGTAGGTAGCTAGGTAGGTAGCTAGGCAGGTAGGTAGGCAGATAAGCTAGTAGGTGGGTAGGTAGGGTGTAGGTAGACAGGTAGGCAGATAGGTAAATAGGTAAGGTAGGTAGATTGGCAGGCAGATAGATAAATAAGTAGGTAGTTAGGTAGACTGGCATTAGGTAGGTAGATAGGCAGATAGGGAGACAGATAGGTAGGTAGATAAGCAGGTAGGTAGATAGGCAGGTAAGAAGGTAGGCAAATTTTTTGGGGGGCAGGGGACAGAATCTTACTCTGCTGTCACCCAGGCTGGAGTACAGTGGCATCATCTCAGCTCACTGCAACCTCTGCTTCCTGGGTTCAAATGATTCTCCTGCCTCAGCCTCCCGAGTAGCTGGGACTACAGGCTCCCGCCACCACACCTGGCTAATTTTTGTATTTTTAGTAGGGATGGGGTTTCACCATTTTGGCCAGGCTGGTCTCAAACTCCTGACATTGTGATTCACCTGCCTCAGCCTCCCAAAGTGCTGGGATTACAGGAGTGAGTTATTGTGCCTGGCCAGTAGGTAGCTTTATAGGCAGGTAGGTAAGTAGATAGGCAAGTAGATAGGTAGATGGCTAGATAGGTATGCAGGTAGAGGGGCAGATAGGTAAGTAGGTAGATAGGCAGATAGGCAGGTAGGTAGGTAGAAAGGTATGGTAGGTAGGTAGATAGGTGGACAGGTAGGTAGGTAGGTAGGTAGGTAATTATTGATAGATTGGCAGACAGGTAGGCAGGTAGGTAGGCAGAAAGGCGCTCCATATGTCTTGGACAATTTCATTGTAAAGTTAATGTAATATTCTGACACACACTACAACCTGGATGAACCTTGAAAACATTGTGTTAAGTCAAAGAAGCCAGACATGAAAGACCACATATTATATAGTTCCGTTCACAAGAAATGTCTAGAATAGGCAAATCCATAGCGAAAGAAAGCAACCCTGTGGTGACCATGGCTGGGGATGGGTAGGGAGTGACCATGAACAGGTTCAGAGTTTTCTCTTGGAAATTCTGGAACTAGATAGTGGTGAAGATCGCACAACATCATGAGTGTACAAAATGCCACTGAACTCTACATATCAAAATGGTGAATTTTTTGTTGTATTTTACCAATAAGGAGTTAAAATATAGATTTTCTGCTGGGGAGAGTACATTTGACACTGGGTAATATTTATTCTGACCAGATAATAATGGGCTGGCCTGACTAGACCAACATTTAAGAAAGCATTTCTGCGAATAATTAACTGCAGGAAATACCATAGTTAATTAATAATTGGCTGGTTTGTAAATATGTGCCATCTACACCCATGAAGGAACTAAGAAGCTCATAAAAGCACATATAAATAAGGCAGTTAATGATGTGACTAAATTTAAATGTCTTATGGCAATTTAAAATTATTTTACTTTTATAAGACTTCCATGTAGGTACTGGCACTTTCATTAATGTGCTTGCTATTTTTCGCTTAAATTTTTATCTCTATGAAAACATAAAACCTTCCAGGGACTAATGTATGCTGCGTGATTCTGTGGCTAAGCTGCAGCAGGAACTTCAGGCCTTAATAAGGCAAGGGTGAGGAATCACAACTGCATATGTAATATTCACAGGATAAAAGTGATACTAATATACTATGTGGAAAAAAACCACAACAAAATAAAATACCATTCAGCACACACAAAAAACGTGCTTGCTGGTTTGTTTCCTGTGATTGACAGACGCTCTTACTTACTCTGTGTCTTTGAGGCAACAATTGCTTGGAAGATGGCCGAAGAGGAGGTGTTGACAAGCAAGAGTGGCGATTTTAAAGGCACACCTACCAGGGGCTAACAAGTGCCTGCGACGTGGCCACTGCAAGCCCGGATGCTGCCAGCACCATGTCCTCAGCTAGGGTGGACATCCAAGGGCGGAAGAAGAGCCGAACCATTCACAAATGTTGCACGTGTATGCAGAGACAGTGTCCACAGCCAGTGAGGGTTTTCTTTAAAATCATTAGCATAGCTAAATTTCAAAGTTCAAATAAAAATTGTTTTGTATAGACTGGGAAGGCCTCTCCATTGTACCTATCAGCAGAAGGTATGTGTTCAATGCTAAGCGGTTAGAATCAAGCGCAGAACTGACCTCTGTCGGAATGTCCGCATCCTAAGACTCCTGTCCCTCGCTGCAACTGTGATGCCTGCTGGAGAGTGGCCGTGTCACCGCGGCTCAGACAATACCCTCCCAGCCTCTTCTGGCTTTGTAACATGCCTGCTCTTCAGCCAACATGCCTTCTCTTCTGGAAGGAGTGAAGGCCAGTGGTCAGAGATGCTGATGCAAACCGATGCTCTGTCATTCCCAAACTCAGGATTCTTGGATGAATCCTCTCCCTCTCCATTTTCTGGGAATAATCAGAACCTGTTATTTCTATCTTTGCAGGCTGCTGATAGGAAAGGACCATGCAGATAATTAAATGACCCTCAGAGAAAACTGGTATTGCCACTATCGTGATTTAAGGCACTATGGGTGAGCTTTCTGGGTAAGCAGAGGTTCTTTGCAGAAACATTTTTATTTTAAATTTCTGAAAAGACTCTATTCTTAAACAAATATGTGGCAGAGGGATTTGTCTGTATTCACGTCTCATTACGAACATCTCTTCTGTTTAAAAATACAAATGCAAGTGACAGGAGAGGACAGATACTTGGATAGAAGCCTTCTGACTGCTGTCCTCAGTGACCCCTCAGCAGTGACTGCATAGCCTGCTTCCTGGAAAACAATTCCTGGTGTTTGTTTGCTGGGTTGGGGCCCCTTTCTTTTTTCTTTTCTTTTTTTTTCTTCTTTTCTTTTCCTCCTCTCCTCTCCTCTTCCTCTCCTCCCCTCCCCTCCTCCTTCCCCTCCTTCCTTCCTTCCTTTCTTTCCTCCCTCTCTTTCTTTCCTCCCTCCTTGTCTTTCCTTCTTTGCTTTATTTACAAAGTGAGCACCACAAATGTATGATCTTATGGCGACTGTAGCATGGGCAACTTTGGGTTAAATTGCTTTGGTCACTATTTAATTTGGTTAATATTCTTCTCTCACATACTTTCGCATTGTCCAGGAAACGAGCTTTTTCATTATTACTCTCAATGTACTGAGGCTGGTCAGCAACATTGAAAGATTCTTTATCTCTGCACAGCTAGCCCATGGCTCATGGACACATTTTGCTATCTGCATCCATACTCACTTTTCGTTTGTGTGTAAATTCCAGAGAATGAAGGAACAGTTTTATCTCCTCAGTGTTTCAGGATGCTGTGCTAAGGTGAGAATCTCAGAATACATGAAAGCACCAGTGAGCAGCCCACCTATGTTTGCATTCAGTCTGTTGCTTTACAAGATTAAAGTTGCCCAGCAGAGCCACTGCTTCTTAGAAAGTAAGTTAGGCTCAGAAAAGACTCATCTGAAAAATCCTGTTTGACTGTTAACAGTTCTAATGTTATTTTTAAAAAATATAAAGTTCAACCTATAAAAATTTCTCATTGAGAGACTATCTAAACAGTGACCAGTGACCAGACACAGGTCCTCTACTGGGGTGGGGTCAGATGCAAAATCGCAATCTGAGAAAGTCTTGAAACACAGACACAAAAGGGCTTCTACCACCAGACCTCACTGTACCACCCAGGCCATCCCCACCGCCATCTCTCCCCACCAGCGGCTCCACTAGTCCAGGCAGAGCAGGGAGCTGCTGTTTAATAAGCTGCTCAGGTGATTATGCTGCATTGTGCCCACCTAAACATCAAACAGAGAGAGGCTCTCTCTAAAAAAAAAAAAAAGACATTTACTGGGGAATAGGGGATTATAATGAGAATATGTGTGCCTTAGTAACTATGTGAGTATTCAGGGAGGCAAACAAAAAGAAGGTTCTTAGAGAAAACAATGAGGATTATGTAATTGTTTTGAAAGAATTATCCTTGGCTATTGATCCTAGGGTCAATAACAAGGGTGACGTCAGTCCAAGGCTGGACAGGCAGTTGCTGGGCAGATGTCCTTCAGGAAGTGTTTTTTTTGTGTGTAAGGTTGTGACATCCTGTGTCCAAGTGTGGGTTTTGCAGTCTCCTGTGACAGTTTTTGTTATTGGGTGTACAAGCTTCAGGATACTCTTTTCATGGCTTTCCCTGCTACAGTTGCCAGGGATTTTCTTTTGTTTTCATTTTTGCTTTTAATAAAAGTGATTCCATTTTTATTCTGACAACTTTCACAGTTACCGGGTTTGGAAAATACTGTTCTACATTGTTCTGGAATCCATGCCACAAAAGAGAGAATTCTTTTTTTTTTTTTCCCAAAAAAAAATGGAATTAGAATTCTCAATATCACTTCCTTGGTAGATTTTGTCAATACCACGCTCTCGATGTCTTATTTGACTAGTTTTTTGGCTGCTATGCTGTTGAATATTTTAATTAGTGAACCAGGTTAGACTTATGTTCAGAGTGTTTTAATAGTAGGTAAAATACGTTCATTCTCCTGCTGAAAGTAAATACATGTTATTGGGAGGTAACCGAGATATTTCCACAGGTTTCTATTTGTACCTATGAAGCTAAGCAGGTGATTTTTTTTTTTTTTTTTCGAGACAGGGTCTCACTCTGCAGTCCCGGATGGAGTGCAGTGGCACAGATCATAGCTTACTGCAGCCTTGACCTCCCTGGGCTCAAGCTGTCTCCCCACCTCAGCCTCCCAAGTAGTTGGGACCACAGGCACAGGGCACCACACCCAACTAATTTATGTATTTATATATGTATATATGTGTGTATACACAGACACACACACACACACACACACACACACACAATGCCAGGAAGAGAGGCGTAAGCCACCAAGCTGAGACACAGATGATACTTTTCAGAGCCTTTCTCCAGCAACCAACCAAGATCAGTCAGTCAAACCTGAAGTTAATGTATTTATAGCCCTGAAAATAAAGAACTAGAAACTGTTCTACTCAAAAACCTAAGGCCCAGCTTTCTCTCCCTGTTTCCAATGAGCACAGGCTGTGATGCTTCACAGCAGGGAATACCATCTCATTTACTTTCTATTTGTTTGAATAAATCTACTTTTAGTAGCTTTTATACTTTTGGTGAAACAGAGATTGACTTTTTGAGAAAAACGCTATTTTCAAGTCCAGATCACCTCCCATACAGAGTATTCAATGTCAGAACAATTATGTCCTAAGAAGAAATTTACATGAAAAATGAGTCACTGTTTAAATCAGGGAAGTTGGCAAATTAATAAAAGTGAGTGCTCCAGGAGAAACCTTCTGCAAATTATTCACAGTTGCTGCCAAATGCCTTGCCAACCTGTTTGAGACTGAGTACCATTAAATATCGTGCTTTTAATACACCACATTATACAAGGCCTGCACCTCAATTGCTGTGTGGTGTGGGTGGTTGGCCAGGGGTGGGGACTAGGGAGAAGAGCTGACCTCCAATCTCATTAACTAACTGAAATAAGGGTATCCATATGGTTTCCAACTGCAAGAACAACAATGTAATTAAGCAGTGGAATGCACTGAAAGCAGCTGAATCACTTCATATTTCACAACGGTGAGGTGGGATTTGTTCACAGCTAGAGGCATGGAGGCTACATGGGTCTGTCTGCAGATTAGCCAATTCTCTTATGGCAACAACTTTCCAAGTAGATCTTGGCATTGTTTGCTTCTGCCAGATGACTCAAAGTCTATTCCTTGAGGCAACTTTTAGAAGGCGTTGGAAGCATCAGAAAGCAGCCTGAACCTACAAATCCACAAACAAGTATCCCTCTCAGGAAAAGGCCACTCTGCCTGTCAACACCGAAAAGGAGGGAGGCCATTCAGTAACAGTGGAAGGGGAGATGTTGATTACAATGCACACGTCAAGTCGCTCTATGTTTGACCAGCACAATACATAAAATTGTAAGCCATCTGAAAGTGAAGTTCTTTTATAAAAAATTTTTATTTCCATAGGTTTTGTGGGAAACAGGTGGTATTTGGTGACATGAGTAAGTTCTTCAGTGGTGGTTTATGAGATTTTGGTGCACCCATCACCTGAGCAATATATACTGAACCCAATTTGTAGTCTTTTATCCCTCATCCATTTTTCTGTACATTACCTTATGGGGAATTTATCTCTGGAAAGGCATACAGAACCAGGCTCAAAGGATACTCAGCCAAGAATAAAACCTAAATCATATCCCTGAAGATACGGCTACTTCCACACTGGGCACAGGTGCACGCTCTCACTGAAACACAGAGCACTCTTCCAAGGAGGCCTCTGATCTCTGGGTTCAGATCTCTCTCCACGGCACTGCCCTCTTTCTTCCCTTTGCTCAGAATCAAGTCTAGAAGCGCTATACCCAAATGGAACAAGCCAGGGCATACCTGGGCCGGAGTTGCCAAGAAAACCTTGGAAAACAGTTTCTGAGTTCTCCCTTAGACACGCGAGATTCATAAGGGAATAATTCCCCCAAACATAATAGAGATTTGCATATGTCAATAGGTGAGCAGTGGCATTACAAGTGACTGTCACATCAAGGAGAATTAGGGCATCATCCTCTGTTGATCACAGCAATTCAGCACACGCATGTTGCTGTATTGGGTCATTAATGCTTTTGCCAATGTGCCTGTTTCCTAACCCTGGACCCTGACTCCTAAAGAACAGATCCAGGTTTTCATCATATTTGCTTCCTCTGTGTCTAGGATGGTGCCTGGTACAGAGGAGGTACTTAATGCCCAATTGCTGCGCCGTTGTTTGAGAAGCATGAGCTCTCAGTGCAAGAGGAGCACAGGTCTGTCTCTGTCATTACACATCTGTTGGGTGTTTGTTGACTACTCAATTCAACTGTCTCATCTTCTCAACCCAAGGTTCATTATACTTGAATCCTCATGTTGCATGTCTCCAACAAGTTTGCAAAATATTTAGGACTACTATTTTTGCTTTAAAACTCTCACCACATTAATAAATATAGCATCCGAAAATGTTCTTGCTGGAAAATGTGACCATCTGGAAAGTACTCAAGCATTTTCTGTGTTTTCTACCTGGATTTCTTTTTTTTTCCCCCATTTATTTATTTTATTGCATTTTAGGTTTTGGGGTACATGTGAAGAACGTGCAAAATTGTTGCATAGGTACACACGTGGCAGTGTGATTTGCTGCCTTCCTCCCCATCACCTACATCTGGCATTTCCCCCCTTGCTATCTCTCCCCAGCTCCCCACCCCCCACCGTCCCTCCCCTATTTCCCCCAACTGACCCCAGTGTGTAGTGCTCCCCTCCCTGTGTCCATGTGTTCTCATTGTTCAACACCCGCCTATGGGTGAGAACATGCGGTGTTTGATCTTCTGCTCTTCTGTCAGTTTGCTGAGAATGATGGTTTCCAGGTTCACCCATGTCCCTACAAAGGACCCAAACTCATCGTTTTTGATGGATGCATAATATTCCATGGTGTATATGTGCCACATTTTCCCTATCCAGTCTATCGTCGATGGGCATTTGAGTTGGTTCCAGGTCTTTGCTATTGTAAACAGTGCTGCAGTGAACATTCGTGTGCACGTGTCCTTATAGTAGGACGATTTATAATCCTTTGGATATATACCCAGTCATGGGATTGCTGGGTCAAATGGAATTTCTATTTCTAGGTCCTTGAGGAATCGCCACACTGTCTTCCACAATGGTTGAACTAATTTACACTCCCACCAACAGTGTAAAAGTGTTCCTATTTCTCCACATCCTCTCCAGCACCTGTTGTCTCCAGATTTTTCAATGATTGCCATTCTAACTGGCGTGAGATGGTATCTCAATGTAGTTTTGATTTGCATTTCTCTGATGACCAGTGATGATGAGCATTTTTTCATATGTTTGTTGGCCTCATGTAGGCCTTGGCTGTTCTCCTTGAAGTCAACCCAAAGTCTAGAGACCAGTCCTTGGGGATGTTCTGGAAGAGACAGAGTTACCTGGAAAGGCAGTAAGACTCTTCCACTGAGGCTCTGGGAGACCCTCCCAGCTGAGCTGAACACTGGTTTATTCATCTTTTATCATCACACCCTTCCCATTCCCCAGCACAGTTGGGGTTTGCGTTACAAGGCTACTAACTAGACACTAGGCTGAGAGAGTTGCTGCAATTGAACCCTGAGTGGGAACTGAATTACTTTCACTTTAGAAAGCTTGGAGCCAGCTCACATCCATGTTGTCTGCAGCAAAGTTAGGGGAGATTCAACTACGCAAGGTTAGGCATTCATTCCTGAGGGACAACATTCCTGTTTCTTTCCAGAGAAGCAGCTGTTTTTTCCTACCTCATCTTTCTCATCTTTAAGTCAGATTTTTGCACTTGCTTTTAAATCTCATACAAATTACAAACAGCCATGACTTTTATTCCTATATATGCATACGCCGTGGAAAATTTAGATTGCTCAAGCCGACTTCTGCCAACAGAAATAATGTTGTCTTTCAGCAAAGGTTTGCTTTTCTGAAATTGAGTCATCCCCACCCTTTAGAAGCAACAACTTTAAAGAATACACCTGGCCAATATGCAACTCCCAGTATTTTCTCAGGAATGTTTCAAAAATCTATTGTTTATTCTGGATACTGAGAGAGCTAGTAGTCTCCCTTTATCCCCCCTGTACCCTATATTCTGGAGGCAAACATTTCAAGACCCCCAGCCGACGCCTGAAACCACAGATGGTAAGGGACCCAATTGCCATCAATCAGAACATGCTTCTGTTCCTGTCCTCCCCTCCACCCCCAAAATTTAATGGCCTTTCCATCTGAACCAACCACCATGCACTGTGGCTGTAACTATTGCACTCTGAGGTGTGGCAACAAAACTGCACTGTGGCTGTAACTATTGCACTCTGAGGTGTGGCAACAAAACTTGGATGCATTTCTTTTTCCTTCCTCACAAGTTCATGAATAGAAGATTGATTCTCGCCATAGACATTAGGAAACTTGGCATATGATTTTCTCCTTTCCTGGGTTAGTCAAGACCTTTCACCTGTTCACTTAAAGGAAGCACTTTGCAGGTTCTCTTTGACATTTCTGAATTGCCAGCATGACTACTCTGGCACTTTGGGGCCATTATTAAGTAAAATGAGGGTTCCTTGAAAACACAGCATGGTATCATCAAGGTATCATGACGACCTTGTGACTGAGATGGCCACTAGGTGGCGGACAGGCAGGCAGTAGAGACAGGTGGATCTGCTGGACAGAGGGAGGAGCCACGCCGCAGGTGGGACTGAATGGGCGGCCTGAGACTTCATCACACTACTCAGAATGGAACACGAGTTAAAACTTATGAACTGTTTATTTCTGGAATTATTCGCTTAATGTTTTTGGATTATCATTGACTGAAAGTAACTGAAACCTCAGAAGGCAAAACAGCGGATAAGAGGGACTTGCCAACCTTAACAAAGTTTGCTCTTAGGAACTTTGTGTGCTTGTCTAATCTGTGACTTCCTTTAATCCACTGCTTTGAGGTCCCTAAAGGTAGGAATCATGTTTTACTCATTTCACGGCCACATTTCCTCAAAAAGTAATTGAACAGGTAAGACGAGCAGGTCAGGCTCTGCCGATGGCCTTCTCCATGGCTGTGTTTGCAGGGGCAAAGCATGGTAGCAAACAACCTCCAAACACCTCCATGGCTTGAAAACACTCAGCTGAGCCACTTGCCATGCTTCTCATCCACTGCAGGCTGGGGGTAGCACCTGCATCCTCAGGCTCAGGTGAAACAATTTTCCCATGCTGAGCATTGCCAGGCTCGTGGCAGAGGGGGAGGGTGAGGGAACCTTGTGTGGCTTTTACAGTTTCTGCCAATAAGGGGCAGAGTCACTTCCATTCCCATTCCATTGTCTGGGCCTGACCTCAGGACAGGTGGCAGAACCTTTCTAGCCAGGAGAAGTGGAGAGTACCTGGAAGAAGGATACAAACTGCCACCAACTTACAGAGTTAATCCTATGAATTCATCAACACGAGTATACACTTGCCTCACTGGCTATTTTTTTCTAACACACAGAATCATTGAGTCTTGTTGTGGTGAGAGACTTGTATGTCGTGCAGTCCAGAAACGCAACATTAGAAACCAAAGAGCTGGGTAACCTGAGAGCCGAGGTGACCAAGTCCAGAGGGCGGGGCCTGTGGGCCCAGCACACACACCCTAGTGGGGGGCTGTCATTTCTACCACAGCCAACATTGCCCTAGAGAAATCAACACAGGCCCAATGCTGGCAGCTATTCCAATGTGAAAGGAACCAAAAATCCAGCTTTTATGTAATAATATTCTAATCTTTATAACATTAATCAACTGGGGGGAAAAAGGGGTCACAGAACTTTTGCAGCCTGTGAGCCAAATTTAGCCCAAACCTCTAACCGTGCACAAGTTCATACAAATATAACAAAGCCAGGAGAAGAACCCAGAACCCCAGATGCACTTTACTACTGACAGGGGCCTCCAGCCCCAGTGAGCACGGGAACCACAAGTCGAAACACTGAGGTGCCCCGCCAGGCCAGTCAAGGGCATGCTGTGCTTGTGTGACCCATTTTAACCCCTAAAAGCATAATACACCAAATATTGTAAATTCAGTTAAACGAGTTGGATTTACACCGGTCCTTCCTGATACACGCTGAATCAGGTCTTTTCCATTATTCGCTCCCTTCTGTTGAAAAGAGTCAAGTAAATATTTAAAATCTCTTACCCAGGGGCCGGCAGATTATGATCCAGAGTCCAGCCGGTCCGCTTTTGTGTATAAAATTCTCATGGAACAGCGCTGTGCACCTGCCACGCATGGTCTGTGGCTGCCCCCATGGACACGGCCACAGAGCTGAGTCCAGCACAGATCTCAGGGCCCACAGAGGGAGGTGCCTTTCCGCTGTCATGCCCACAGAGCACCAGCCATCGCAGCCGCTGAAACCTTGGAACACACTCCATGCCCTGTTGGCTTCTTCACAGAAAGTGGATAAAACTGGGTCTTTACAACCTAAAGCAGGCCACGCCAAGGCACTCCTTGGAGACTGAGTCACAGTCCCAGTGACGACAGCACGTCCACAAGATGGGAGCTGGCCGAGGGATCTGCGTGCCGCACACCTCTTCACAGAGCAGGAAAGAATCGTACTGGAAAAGTGTTCCAGCAGCACATCATCTCCTGAGAAAAAAAGTCAGGGAGCCAGATCAACCTTGAGGGTTAACGTTACTTGAATGTGAGCATAATAAATACTCAGCATGTCTCCTAAGACCTGGAGTATCATCAGAGACCAAACTTGGAAAACCACAGAGAATGACGCCCAGTTTCTGAGAGTCATTCCAAGCTTTACAATCAGCCCACAACCACCAAGTCCCAGGAAGCCTGGCCGAGACCGCGGCAGGTCCTGACATGCAGCATCAGCCTGAGTCTGAGCCCCGAGGAAGCTTCTGCTGCCACAATGTCTGCGTGTGCTCATAGCTAGGGTGCAGGCCCAACCACAGTGGACCAAGGGTGGACTGGAATTTCGTCTGGACTGGAGGGCTGGCTCAAGTGGGGATGACTTTAAGGAGAACAGAAAGGAAAAGGGAAGAATACAAGTGTCCAGCTGGTTCCCAGAGCCAGGAGGGAACAACGCATCACAGACAGAATTTCACAGACACCGCTGCCGTCCTCCAGCCACACCCGCCTGCTAGCTGTGCTGCTGGCCTCCCCTAGGCTTCAAGGGTCCAGGATGCTGCTTCCTTAAAACCAGTGATTTTCCTCCAGAAACCTGGTTCTTTCCAGGGTTCCAGACATTCCTGATGTTCAATTCCTTCAGGTTTGGGGAGGAAATTCCCACAAAGGCATCAAATCTCGGGATGTCAGTAAGTGAAACAGGCAATTGGCTTGTTTCATATCCAGCACTTAATAAAATCTACTGGGCAAGGTGGAACGCATGGCTGACTCCAGATCATAGCAGCAAGGAGACAGCCAATGAAGCTCTGGAGGGTCGGCATCCACAGCTTGAAAATAGGGACTCAGCCATGGAGAGGCTCTGTCACCCCCAGCTTCTCTGAGAGTCTGACTCCTGACTCTCCCGGCCATCCTTGCCCCCTGAGCCTTACACACAGAACATCCCTGGGAAGATCCAACCAGCTGCACCGACTTCCTTCGCTGTCCCAGCCCCACAGACATGTAACTGAGAGGGGACATGAAGAGTGAGCTTCTAGCACGTGGGCACAGGAAGCGTGAATGTCAGCAGCAGGAGAGGGAACCACGGTTTCACTGCCTGCCGGCCATGGAGGCCGCACCCAGGGTGGCTCACAGGGCATTCTTGGCATTATTGGCCTCCACACCTTGTTCTCTCCATGCCAGGCGCACGCGGTAGGACCCATGAATCTGCACATTTTCACTGCCATCATGTAAGCTACTCTGCCCAGAACTGTTTTTAATTTTTAGAACTATTTTCTAATCTTTTCATAAATTTGAGACAAAGAAACACTTCAAGCAATTCTTGCTATAAAATAATGGCTAGCATTTTTGCAGCACGGAGGCTCACAAAACACCCCATTCACATTGTCTCACTTCACCATCCTAACAGCCTCTGAAACAGCCATCGCTGGACTTCACTGCGTCTAAGACGGCATCTGCTGAAAAACACAGCAGTATGTTACATGCCACTGAGAAAAAGAAAACACTGCTGTTTAGACCACAATACACAGTGACTTGGGATTGATGAAAAGCAGCATTTCCCACACTTTCCAAAGGAGGAGATGGAGGTGGCACTGCTGGGTTTTCACTTGAGCCTGCAGTCTAAATGATGCACAATGCACTCTGCAACTGGTCCCTGCACACAGCAGGTGGACACGACAGCTTCCTGCGCATTCTCCTGGGATGCCTGACACAACCAGGACCCTGGGGTGAGAAACTGAGTTCCCAGTGTGGGAAGAGGAAAGCCTCCTCCTTGCCTCTGGGATCTCCCCTCCCCACATGTCCCGCCAAAGCAATGCCCTTCCTCTCAGTGTTTCCAGAAGCTAGTAACAGTGACATACCTAGAGGAGCGACAGGCAAAGACTGGGAATCGTCTCATTGTCCAAGACCGTGGAACCCATGTTTACAGTTTCCCAGACAGGGGTAAAGTAGAAGGTGATCTTCCCAGTTCTCTGAAAGATAGGCTTCCTGGCCCCACTGGTGGGCAGTTCCTAGGTTCCACATATGGGGAGCGTGATCCACACGTAGCTCAGAAGGACAGGAAGGAGAACCCCACCAGGAGCATGCGTTGCAAGAACCCCAGAGCCGAGGCCGGTCACCAACTCTCGAGTGGGCGTGTGCAGGTGTCCTTGTTTCCTGGAGAAGGTGGGGTGCTGCGGCAGGTGTCCTGGTTGCTAGAACGGCTCTCCCATGCTGGTCCTCTAGCATCTGCCATGCGACTTCCTCCAGTGCATGGAATGTAAACAGAAACCACCAGCACATCAGCTCCAGGTGGAAGTTTCTGAGCCTGCAAGAGTCTTGTGTGTCCACAGTGTCCGAGCCCCCCACCTGGGTCCTGGGGGACACCACAGAGCAGAGCCCCCAGGTCAAATTTTATGTACACGTGACAAGAGCAAAAAATAATGATTTTTCTTTCAAATCACTGAGATTTTTCAAGCTGCTTGTCCCATGGTGTAACTTGTCCCGACGGGACTCACGCTCTTCTCTCCTGTGCCAAGCATCAATATCGATTTTTGGTGAAATTTTCCATGGTGGCAGTGCAAACCCCTGCGTGTTTCCTCAAGTCTATGGACATGATGTCACTCTACCAACAACATTCATGAACGAAATATTAGGGCCCAAATGTTCCCTTGAAGTAACTTTCCAGGACACTGCTGGTGTTGTGTTCACAAGGTCATGTAATCAGGAAATTAATTGCATCTGATGCTCAACAATTTGGAGCAAATCATCCACCTGGGACCTCACCAGACTCTCCTGGTCAGCAGCGGCTTCTGCCTGGAGGCCACTAAGTCATTCCATGTGCTGAAATCCAGCCCTGACTTCTTAATCCCAAGCCCAGTTCTCAGATTCAAGGCCCCGTTTTCTCTTGTATTTCTGTATTCTAGAATGTTAGACTAACAACTTAACAGCCAAGGACTCAGACATAATACGACCCAAGGAACAATCAATGCTGAGTGGGGATGTGGGTGCAAGGAAGGGCCCCTCAGGCGCCTGGGCTCAGTGGATTTTCTGACAGGAGCATAAACTTCAATTCTGAGGTTCCTGTTAGAAAAAAAAAAATCATTAGAGAACACCAAAGGCTATAGTTTCATAGCTAAGAAAACACGTTTGGTTCTTTGGAGAGCTTCCACGCAACCATAGCTGCCGCAGAAGCCCCAGCACTTCCGCATCTGTAAATCCTGCACAATCGGGTGGGCCTGTCTCCAAACCTTCCCCATAGAGAAGGACGAGTTTCCTCACTCCAGTGAGAGACCCCCATGGCCAAGCAACAGGGCTGACAGGAGGCTTCCCTGAACCCCAAGAACAGCGTTTTGACCAGTTTAAATTCGGCCATGATTGTGCACTTCGCAAAGCAGGGCTTTGCTCTGTTTCTCTAGTCCCAAAGGATTCCTGAAACGTGGGCCCTGCTGTCACCCAGGCTGCCACTTCCCTGAAAGTCTCTCAGGTGTGACTCTTGCCTGGGAAAAGGATGTCTTCTTCCATTACCTTCCAGCTTGTTGCAACCAGAGAAACGAACTCAAAAGTCTCTAGACTTGTACCTGCCCTGCTGAGAGGCCAGTGGGGAACGCCCCTCCCTCGGCCCTGAGTCTCTGCAGGGCCTCCCCTCCCCCACAGCTTTCCCGCTGCTCTGATAACAGAACCACTGCTTTGCACCAGACCCCAGACCCGGCACTCGAGCTCCCAGGAGACAGGAACACAGGCATTCTGAAACCGGGAGATTGGAACACAGCCATTCCTGACATCCAAAGACAGGAACACAGTCATTTCCAATGTCGGGAGACCAGAACACAGGCATTCCTGACATTGGAAGAGGGGAACACAGCCATTCCCGACGTTGGTTCCTATGGCCTCATCATTTCTCACTCCATGAGCAACACACGCTCATCGAGAGCTGTCTCCACCTCAGATTTCAGATTTGCCTGTTGTACTTCCTCCTCCCTCTGTCCCAGCTCTTGCTCTTCTGCCTCAGTTTCCCAGATGTGGAGAACACAGTCACCTGCCTAAGCTCTAGACACTATCACAGTCCCTTCTTCATGAGTCCTCACTGGGCTGCCCTTCATCCCTCTACTTTCTCAAAACGTAGTGGGAGGAGGAGGAGGCAGGCGGCTTCAGACAATGAAAAAGAGACCGATGGAGCCACAAACACCTCTCGATGCCCAAGGTGAAACGCTGTTCTTTCCTCTTCTAAGTGGCAGCCGCTCACCACTCTCTCCCCTGCAGGCCTTGTGGGAGGCCCTGGCCCTGCTCCCTGAGGAACCTGCAGTGGGGAGGGAGAGAGACCCAGGGAGGTAGAGACAGAGACAGGGACAGGAACAGAGACAGGGACAGAGAGAGAGAGAGAGACAGACAGACGGACAGACAGACAGGGACAGAGATAGGAACAGAGACACAGGGAGGCAGAGGCAAGGACAAAGAGACAGAGACAGACAGGGACAGAGAGAGGGAGAGACAGAGACAGACAGAGATAAGGACATAGTGACAGAGACAAGAACAGAGAGAGAGGGAGAGGCAGAGACAGGAACAGAGAGATAGTGAGGCAGAGAGAGAGACACAGAGAGGACAGCGAGCTTTGAGCTCACACCACCCACTGGTGCATATGGAAGGTCAGGGGGACACAGCAGGCCCGTGGGCAGCTGCGTTTATCAACTACATGAATCTGCCAGTGAATATGGAGGAAAGCATAAACGTCCAGGCTTGCACATACATTATGACTCAGGAATTCTGGTTCCTAGATATTCATCCTGGAAAATCTCTTGTGAATGTTCACTGAAAGACAAGGGCAGGCATGTCCCTATCAGCACTGGTTGAACCAAATGCAGTAACATCGTAGAACCTTAGAAAGGTAAAGAAGAACAAAGCAGGCCACAGAGAACACAGTAAGAATGTAATAGATTTCAGAAATGCTAAAATGTATTGTACAGGTATCGAAACTAGTTTCTAAATGATGGAATACTTTTTTTAATGCTGGAGAGTGGCCACATCTCCCAGGGAAGCAGGAACGCAGGGCCAGGAACGAGCCGCAGCAGCTTGGATTGTTTTCCATAGTTTCAGAGAAACGGCCTCTCCACAGGGGTTTATTTCATCAGTAAGTTTCAAAGCTTCCATATGCTATTACATATGTTCCATATTTACCAATTTTTCATAATAAAGATAATTTTCTTATCTTAATATTACCAACACCTTAAATTGAAGTAACATTCTCCCGAGCCCAATGTGGCTGCCCAGTCATGAGTGATGACAGGAAGCTACTTTCCCCAGCAGTCACAGAGGCCATGGTGAAGGCGGGGCAGGAGGGCACGTCCAGGGTGCCTGACAACCAAGTTGGTGCTCTTCTGACAGGAAGCCCGTGGGATCTGTGTGGTCTTCCAGCTGCTGCTACTGCACAGAATCTATCCAAGGGTCACCCCAGGGCCTCCCTTGGGAAGCACAGGTCTCCAGAAAATTTAGACTCGGAGTCTGATCTTCATCAGCAACCAGACCATTGATGCTGGGGCCACACATGGGACTGGGACTTTATGACCAGAAAGTCACCAAGTTCCAAGGAAATCACCTGTTTTCCTTTGCAAAACTGAACCTAGATCCATCCAAAGATGGCATATAAAGCACAGATTGCCTGCACTAATTCGGTTGGCCATGGTAACTTGAATCCCAGCATCTCAGTGGCTGAGCAAAGCATGGCCGTATCTGTTGCCCACATTGCTCGCTGATGACCACAGTCACCACACATCTTCTCGTGCCAGGGCCTGGGCTCCAGGAGCAGCTCTCATCTGGAAGGCGCCATTCTTGCACACAGCAAGCGAGAGTCAATCACAAAATGGACTTTAATTGGTTTGATCAGCTTTGGCACATACACGTCTGTGCATGTCATACGGTGAGAGCAGGTCCATGGCGAGCTGACCATCACAGGGACAGAACATTATGGTGCCCGCAAGGGACACATGGGGGAGGCGGGCCCTTCTCAGATGGAAAGCAGGTAGTTGGATTTAATAACGCAACTATCGCATCCTCACACCCTCTCTTCTCTTAGTGTTTGAACTAACTTTCAATTTTTCAAAAAAATTTTAATTAAAAAAATTTTCTTTGCGATACGGTCCATGTTGTCCAGGCTGGTCTGGAACTCTTGAGCTGACACAGTCCTCCCAACTCCCCTAGGACGGCAGGCACATGCCACCGTGCCCAGCTGATTTTCACTTTGATCATGCATGAGACCCACTGGTCCTGGGAACCTTCCACAGAATGGACACGTGTGAGATTCCATGTAACAGACACCTGTGAGATTCCATGGAATACACACCTGGTAGCAGGGTTCTGACCACCTGGGCTCGAATCCCAGCACCAGCGCTTGCCAGCTGAGACTGATCTTTCACAACTAAGATGAAGGGTACTCAGGAACTGGGGGAAACAGGCCGTTGTGACTGTACTAAGGGACCAGTGGGTTTCCTTACTTCCAGCTTTTCCTGTCATCGTCTGCAGAGTTCCTGGGGCTCTTGCTGGCATCATGCTCCTGTTAAGAGTGTGCTGTCTTCATTTGTTACTCCCGAGGAGATGTGCAGACACACAGCTGACTTCCCGTTGAAAGATATTTTTAAATAAATACCTTTCTCCCCTATAGTGCAGCCCTGGGAGGTTTTGTCAGGATGTTCAACTAACTGGCAGGTTCTGTTTCCGTGGGGGGAGGTGCACCATTTAAGAGGATTAAACGAATTTGTTTAAGTCTCTGGTATATAAGGCTCAAATAAGCCGTTGTGTTTACTTTAGACTTCACGAGATCCTTCTTGTGTGTTTAAGCAGATGATAGTCCAATAGGTGGGTTCAGCTGCCAGCTGCTTCTGCCATTTGAATCCCAGCCTCACAGAGTTTATTTACAGAGGATGTTTTCTAAAGCAATGAAGCACAATCCTGCATATACAAAAGAAAAGCGATGCTTGCTCTTAGTCTGTGGTTACCTGCAGCCAATGGCCTCCCTATGAGCTATGCCACAGGACAAGTTTCCCGGCAGACACCACACCCCACCATATGGGGGGATTCACACTGACTAATGGAAAAAACACCAGACCCTTGAAAGAGAATAAGGAGAGCATTGCTCTAATACTGTATAGAAGACAGGCTATAGTTGAGAAAACACAAGCCCAGTCTTGTCACCCACGAGGACAATGGAACTCTGGACACAAAGGTCAAAAAGCCTCCTTGAGGTCATGCTGCAAGATCTGATCAACCCCAGGATGTGGCGTCGAGGAGAGAAAAGAGGTGCGAGAAAGGTCCTTGGAGAACAGCCCAGCAATGAGAAGACAAAGGAATGGTCCCACACAGATACCTGACACACGCACATTGATGACACATGCAGGACACGCATGCATGTGACACGCATGTACACAACCTGTGTATGACACACGTGACACATGTGTGACAGCTACATATGATATACACATATAACACCAACATACCTATGGCACATGCATTGTGTGACACACTTGTACACAACACATGCCTGCATATGACACACATGTGTTGACACCTGTATATGATCTGCACATGTAACACCTGGCTATCTATGGCACATGCCTTATGTGACACACATGCATGGACACATGTAAAATGTAGCATACATTATACTTTAATATGACAAATATAAAGTTTCTAAAATAAATCAAATGTTTGATCTCTCCACACAGAGCGGATGTGGAGTTCCAACAAGGCTGCATTGAGTCTGCCTCTCTTTGGACGCTGAGCAGCACTGGAGCCGTCAGTGAGGCGGCCGGTCCAGGACCAAGCCCATCCTTAATGAAAGATGAGGTGGAGCAGCTGTGGGGTATCCCGGCATCGAGATGCCGGGTGTGACCCATAGGACTGTGTGCAGAGCAGAGTGAAGCTGCTCAGAAGCAGAATCTGCCTTGTTGTGAATCCGCCTGAGCTGCCTCTAGGGGTAGACTACTCTCTGGCCCCCAGGCTGCCTCCCTGGTGCTAGCCTCAAAGAAGGCGCTCTCCCACCATGTCTAGGCTGCAGCCCTCACTTCAGACCTGGCCTTGAGCCTCTGCTCAGG